TATTAAGCAGCATAAATCTCTGCCAGAAGCCCAAGCAAAATACAAAGACATTGGCAAGTTAACAAACAATGAAAATGTACTTCAGTTTTAGGACTTTCATTTCAACAACTCATATTTTTAATATAACCAGGTTTAGACTGGGTTAGAGATAGACGGTTAACAGGTGCAGACTTTTTGTACTGGTCGTGAAAGCATTAGTGTGCATGTTGTACTTTTGTGGTTATCAACACATGTAGGGCAATCAACACATCAATTCATACAGTGCAGCAAAACACTTTTTTTTTATTTAGTTGAGGCTAAATTTGTGCTCACATTTTGAAACCATGCATATGATATTCCTCCTTCAGCAGATGTAAGAGTAGAGAGTAAGTATTCAGTCTCTATGGTTACCACTTGTAGTTATGGAAAAAGAATCAATGTCAAGTTAAAGTCAGCAAGCTTGCAGAGGTGGTACTGCCAACTCTGCGGAGCTGTCTTCAAACTGAGTTGATCTGATTAAACCTGACCTGGTCAAAACAGCTGGTTGTCCATCAAGGTTGCAATTTATTCACCTGAATACAGCGACTGCTAAACTTCAGGTGCAAAACAAAATTTAAATGAATACTTTTTATTCCATAAATATTAGCCCTTTAAAATGCACCATTGGACTGTTTGGTAGGTTTATACTAAACAAAACAAAAAAGCTTTTAGAGAATAGTGTTGTAACTATATGTCCAGTAAAACGTTTGAGAATAGATCTCAGTTATAATATCTATTCTATAACAGAAAGTCCTTTCCATTTAAATAATTGATATCCTATGTTGAAACTAAAGTGCCATTTTGAATGGCATCAAGTGTAGGCCTCATTGTGTTATAGTAGCTCTTGATCTTTGTAATCTGCAGGTGGCATGGTGAAATGGCAACACAAGAGGCAAAATCATCCTGTGTCACCGTCTAAATCATCACTTCTGATGCCAAGACACCAAAAGAGGGGCTTTTGGCAGAGGCCCTCAAATAATCCTCCTATCCTTCCCTCCTTCCATCACTCCCTCCATCTTTCCACCGGTACCAACTGTGGCTAAAGCTGACACTCAGCTTGGACTCCTGTCAGCAGTTCTGGCAGTGATGACCAACGTCTGTCAGGGGCATTGTGAAAGACTGAGAGCGACAGATGAAGAGAAAGAGTGTGTGAAGGTAGGCAAGGAATCAGCCAACTATCTGCTGTTTTGGTGGTAGTTAGGCAGGGAAGGACACCGTAACCTTGACAAGGTAGCAGGTGGCACCTCCTCTGGTAGAGGGAGGGTAATGAGGCATAAAGGTTGGCTGATGGAGTTCGTTTGTCCTGCTTATCTACACTTCAGAGGTCGAAACCACCACCGTGACATTTTGCCTGGGACAGGTGGAGATCCTGGCCAACAGCAGCCCTCTGGTCATGCCAGGGCTTGCATGGAAACCCTGCAGTCTAGGACACATCCAGGGTTGTTTTCAGGCAAAGTTGATAGGCTATTTTGATAGCTTGGCGGATGGTTGGATGGATCTGTGAGGTATAGTAAAATTTGTGAACATAATTGCTCGCAAAAGTGTCAAATCATCGAAGCTGCAGAGGAAAACAACCATTATTTTGGTATCCTGATCGTTCAGTGGGAGATTGATGACTTTGTATTATTTTTAATTGTCTGATTTTACACCAATCAGCCATATCATTAAGACCACTAGCAGGTGAAGTGAATAACACTGATTATCTCATTATCATGGCACCTATCAGTGGGTGGGATATATTAGGAAGAAAGTGAACATCTACAAAG